CATCTGGGAGATCCTAAAGGAAATGCCTAAATACCCCATCCTTTTCTAAGTTTAGGATTCATTCAAGATGAGAAAAGCTTCTACCAGAAAGGTTTTAATTCCCGGGTGTGCTTTGCTAGTCCTTCAAAGATGGTTCTGCCCAGATGAGCTGGAGGAAGTTCTGGATTGCTACTAAAAGTTTCTGTCCTCCCAGATAAATGTTAGACTGTAGTGAAGCTACTGGGCTGCAAAAAGAGGCACCACTCATCTTGGCAAGTGGAAGGGAGAAGGAGAAAGCATGAGCTCCGATGGAAAATGGATGAACTGGGATTAGGTTGCAAGGATGCTTGTTATCAGGATGATGCTTAGCTGGGAAAATGTTGTGCACCGTCTGCTGAATGTAAACTCCAGACCGGGCGCAGGAGGACCAAGGACCTTCTTGAAACTTTATGCCCAGGGTAGACTTCATTTAGGAGATCTCTAATCTCCCAAATGATTAACTGGGCTCACGAAGGTATATACAACTTATCTATAGACCTACACCCTTAGGTATATTTAGGTTTTGAAGACGGGACCTTATTTTGAGATGCATTGACTTCATTGAGTGGGTTTTCTTCTTTTATGAGGGGGTCTTTGGTGCTCTCTGAGCTTGTTTTCTTGCAGATGTTTCATTACCCAAACTAGCTAACATCATGCGTGCTAGTTTGCTCTGAGTTTAGATTCTGGTGGGTTGCCCTATCAGTGTTTGCGAGAGTCATCTTGAGGAGGGGGGAGTGATTAAGCTATTTACTGTTGGCTTGTTTGGCAGTTCCTTGATTGGGGTATTGTTTATTTGATTGTTGGTCTGATGTTAAACTTGGAGTTAGTCCATCTTCATCTGGGTGCTGATTGCTGTTGGGGAGGTGTTTAGATCTTTTTGTTCCCTTTTCTTCTTCTAAGAAAGCTTTTTTTTGTATTGGTGCTCTGCATTTTGATCTGTGGTATATGTAAACCAAAATGAACTATTTAATCCCATAGATTTTATCTGCTTGTTATTGTGTGTTTCTTTCCCTTCAATGGACAGGACTGTTACCTCTTCCCAAAGTTTTTCTCTTTCTAGGAAATTGACTGCTAAATTGCATTAAAAGATATCAATGTTGTACATCAGCAGGAATGTCAACGAATGAGATTGGAGTTTAATTCTTAAATCAAAGAATAAGGCTTGGGATAATGTTTTGTTGTAGGGGAGTCACCTCTAAGTT